GGGGGTGAGTCCAGGACACCCTGCTAGAGCTCCGGAGGGGCTGGGCTGCTGCAGCAAGCCTCCACCTGGCTAAAGTCACCGGCGGCAAAGCTGACTTTGTGTCTGTCTCCAGCCCGCGTTTCCAAAGACAGATCCATCCTGCAGGTGCTTGACAGAAACACCGGAGCCTGGTCCTGCATCTGCCACGACCACTTCAACCTGGTGCTGGCGAAAGCAGCCTGCAGGCAAATGGGCTACAGGAGGTATGGGGCTGCTTTCTCCACACCGCCCCTGCCTGCTTTATCCATCCCTCTCCCGTAAAAGCTCTTTCTGAGTGGGGCTCTGTTTAGTTCTGCACTAATGGTTTCAGTCCACCCCTGCCACGCAGAGTGCTCTGCACGTCCCTAGGATCTGGCTGGTCTCTGCGCTAGAAGCCCTGGCAGCTCCCCATGTGAGCGCAGTACTGTGCCCGTTGTCCCCAGCCTGTGAGCACCCTGCCCTGCTCCTACCCCTCGCCGCCCCCCACCTACTCACAGTAGTCTCCTTTCCTTCAATCCGCTCCTGTCCCTGGTCCTGGGCTCAGTGGCCAGTCCCCCCATCCTGCCCCCAGCCCTTCACGACTGTGGCACTTCCCTCTTTCGGCATCCCTGTGTCCCCATCCCAAGGAACCCCCTTTTTTTTTCCTATGGGGTCTTTCTCTTACTCACTGGCGCAGGGTTGACATTCCCTTCCTAAGCTCCCGCTTCCTCCCTGTCTCACCAGCTCTTTGTTGGGGCCACCGGCAAGCATTTAGGACCTACTTGTAAAGCTTCAGTCCCTGAAGCTTTGGAACTGAGTTAGGACACCTTCGGATCAGCCTGAGCCAAACCCACCAAGTTTCCAGGCTCCCGGAGGTGCTCAGGCACCAGTGCCTGTCCTCTCCCGGCATCTGCGCCCTGCTGGTGGCCCGCCTGGGACCGCGCGCCCCAGGGCGTGCTTGCTGACCCTTGCCCCCCCTCCCCCTTGTGTCTTCCAGCACCCCAACTTTTCA